ACCCGTGCTCGTGGGTTTCACCGAAGTGGTAAACGTCTGAGACCTGCATCACTTCGGGCTTTCCTCCAACAATAAGCTGACACGCCGCGATATAACTGGAATACTGTTAAAAGCGGCGTTAAACCCAAAATCACTCACTCACTCGTCCACTGTCTGTTCAGCCGCAGAAATGTTATTATTTCAAAAACTTTGGGATGGGTCGTATCAAAAGTATACAACAGCAGAGGATATATTTTCCAGGTTATATGTTCCTCATAATACAGAACTTGGTTGATGAATGTCATCGTATCCTAATTACGTACATTGATGCTCATGATGTCAATCACTGGATCGTCTGGACCAGCATACCAACAACTAACAAGTCGCCTTCATTGCGAAAACACCACCGGCACGACTTTCAGGCAATCCCACAACGCGCTGTTGTGCGACAGATAGTCCTGCACCATGACCGTGGAATATATTTATTTGATGAAAAAAAATAATCTAGAAACTCATACAAAAGCGAGTCTAGCCATCTCTAGCTAGGTCTATTTGCAAGCATCATACCCGTGCTTATGCTTCGCCCAAATGGTAAACACTCGACGACCTGCATCACTGGAGGCTTTCTAGCCTTGCCCCAAGGCTATACTGAAAGATAAGTCAATGGATGTGTAGTAATTCTATCCTCCTAATAGGCAAGTTTAGATATGAGGACTCCAGTCTCTTCTGGGGACAACTTGTTCTTATCATTTACATAATCTAGAAATTATGATTTATACTAATAACTATTGCCTTAGAGACTTACGCAAGTCTAGGTGCTTTCCTTTCATGTCAAGCTGACGCTCATCGAAGTAACTGGACCACTGTGCAAAAAACTTCGTCACTATCCCTCGAGTGAATAAACGATCGTATAGAATCGCTAAACATGTAAAGGCAATCGACAGGAATGTGCACCTTTTATACCCAGCTAACTGAAATTATAAAGCCCATGTACGTCGATTTGTGTGTCTGTGTGTGTGTGTGTGTGTGTGTGTGTGTGCGTGTGCGTGCCTGCGTGCGTGCGTGCGTGCGTGCGTGCGTGTGTGTGTGTGTGTGTGTGTGTGTGTGTGTGTGTGTGTGTGTGACCAGTGAATCATATCTCACACAATAGCAAAGTAACCCAAACTCAATCTGTTTGTTAAAACGAACGCACAACGAGAACTCTTTGAATGTCGTCCATTCTCAACAACAATTTCAGTCTTCCCCAGTCGTTGTCATTCGGTATGACAGACAGACAGACAAATCTATTCGGTACTTCAGGCCACCGGCCCATAATACAATGGAAATATACTGTATATATATATTTGCATGCTGAGTAGATTTAATAAAGATTTACCGTTCAACACTTTGTTTCCGTTCGAATGTTCATGACTTGGAAGAGAAATTTACCTAAGCTTTTTATAATTTGTTCGTTTTCAGCTGACATAAGTCTTATAAAATTCTCAAAGGAGGGAGGGGTAACGAGACGCTTGGGAAAAGAGTTTCTTCTTGCTCTAGAATACTGGTCACAAATCATAAGAACATGGAATTCATCTTCTACATGGTTATGTCCCTTCGAAAAACAGAAAGTGCAGACACGTTCATTATATGGGATGTTGTTGTGACGCCCCAGTTCAACAGCAAGTCTGAAATTATTACACCGGAACATGGCTATAAGTCTACGTTGGTAAGAAGACATATCACAAGTAATATATGATTCTACATTTAGTAATGACTTGAACTGTGAGTAGTAATTGCATTTCGTTGATGATGTCAGGGAAAAGTGCCAATATTGAGTGAGGCAGTCGTAAAATCTTCGTTTAAAATCTGTCATGAAATGTTGAATATTACCAATGTCTTGGCTTAGCCAAACAAAACCAAATCCAAACTGGAATAAAATCATTCTAAATGTGAGGCCCATGTAATTTTACCATTATCATCAAGAGATTTTAGTATATAATAAGCTTGGATGGGTAGCCTGTGTTGTTCCATCTGAATTAGTCTGCACCAATACTTGACTGCTCTTGACATGTAGTTATACTGTAGGGGGATCCTAGCACAGTCTCCCAGAACCATGTTGTTATTGGTGAACTTATTTACTTTCAAAAAGGATTTGCAGAATCTGTTTTGGACACTCTCAATAATGTTACAGTAGCTGGTTCCACAGATCTCTGATCCACAACATAGGATTGGTGAAATCATAGCATCAAAAATATTAAAAAGATGTATGTAGCTGTAACATATCTAGTGTCGGTGTGAATAAATAGCAAATAAATCCGGATCTGAGTGTTGCAAATTGTAAGTCTAGTTCCCTTTATAGCTGAATACTTTATATTAATCTGTATCAGATAAATTAAACACGAACGAGACATACAATTCAAAATTTAAATGCCTCAAATTTCCGATAACGTGGATTCTTTGATACCGTTTTAGTTTATCAAATTTCCTTAATATGTTTTGTTGCAGAATATTTATATACATAATGTTGCAGAATATTATTTTAAATAACCAGAATGTCTTTAAACATCTCGTTCGAGGGAGGGGGGTTCTCGGAATGCCGGCTCCTACTGTTTACGATATCAAAGCCGTGGAGTGTCCTCATCTGTAAAACAATCCCGCTTACTGGACTATAGCGTTAGCTGCCAGCACTCCGAGAACCAGCCTCCAGGCCATATGTAGTTAGTTTGCTGATGTACAGCAAGTAGACAGATATGACGTTTATAAACGTGGGACACGACACGAGTCATTGCACTATGGGGTCACAACACCCCCGAGGCGTATGTTTATGTTTATACCGTATATTCAATCATGCGAAGGTCATCTGACGGGGCTTTGCCGACGTCTATTCTGATTCCTTGTATCTGTAGTTGTAGCAAAAGATGCTTCGTTTAGGAGACAGTTATGTACTATGCAGTTCCTTTGTCACATTGAAGAACTTGGTTCGAATCCATAAGGCAGAGCCTATGTTAATGTTTCTAAGGACTTGCTGAATTCGACGTAATTTTATTGTTACTGAAACAGCACACACCCTAACCCCACCACCACCATAACCATCCACCTCCCACCATAACCACCCATCTCCCACCGTAACCACCCATCTCCCACCATAACCACAAATCTCCCACCGTAACCACCAATCTCCCACCGTAACCACTCATCTCCCACCGTAACCACCCATCTCCCACCGTAACCACCCATCTCCCACCGTAATCACCCATCTCCCACCGTAACCACCCATCTCCCACCGTAACCACTCATCTCCCACCATAACCACCAATCTCCCTACATAACCACCCATCTCCCACCGTAACCACCCATCTCCCACCGTAATCACCCATCTCCCACCGTAACCACCCATCTCCCACCGTAACCACCAATCTCCCACCATAACCACCCATCTCCCTACATAACCACCCATCTCCCAGCGTAACCAACCATCTCCCACCGTAACCACTCATCTCCCACCGTAACCACCCATCTCCCACCGTAACCACCCATCTCCCACCGTAACCACCCATCTCCCACCATAACCACCAATCTCCCTACATAACCATCCATCTCCCTGCGTAACCACTCATCTCCCACCGTAACCACCCATCTCCCACCATAACCACCCATCTCCCACCGTAACCATTCATCTCCCACCGTAACCACCCATCTCCCACCGTAATCACCCATCTCCCACCGTAACCACCCATCTCCCACCGTAACCACCCATCTCCCACCGTAACCACCCATCTCCCAGCGTAACCATCCATCTTCCACCGTAACCACTCATCTCCCACCGTAACCACTCATCTCCCAGCGTAACCACCCATCTCCCACCGTAATCACCCATCTCCCAACGTAACCACTCATCTCCCACCGTAACCACTCATCTCCCACCATAACCACCAATCTCCCTACATAACCACCCATCTCCCACCGTAACCACCCATCTCCCACCGTAATCACCCATCTCCCACCGTAACCACCCATCTCCCACCGTAACCACTCATCTCCCACCATAACCACCAATCTCCCTACATAACCACCCATCTCCCACCGTAACCACCCATCTCCCACCGTAATCACCCATCTCCCACCGTAACCACCCATCTCCCACCGTAACCACTCATCTCCCACCATAACCACCAATCTCCCTACATAACCATCCATCTCCCACCGTAACCACCCATCTCCCACCGTAATCACCCATCTCCCACCGTAATCACCCATCTCCCACCGTAACCACCCATCTCCCACCGTAACCACCAATCTCCCACCGTAATCACCCATCTCCCACCGTAACCACTCATCTCCCAGCGTAACCACCAATCTCCCACCGTAATCACCCATCTCCCACCGTAATCACCAATCTCCCACCGTAACCACTCATCTCCCAGGGTAACCACCCATCTCCCACCGTAATCACCCATCTCCCACCGTAACCACCCATCTCCCACCGTAACCACTCATCTCCCACCGTAACCACTCATCTCCCAGGGTAACCACCCATCTCCCACCGTAATCACCCATCTCCCACCGTAACCACTCATCTCCCACCGTAACCACCCATCTCCCACCGTAATCACCCATCTCCCACCGTAACCACCCATCTCCCAGGGTAACCACCAATCTCCCACCGTAATCACCCATCTCCCACCGTATTCACCCATCTCCCACCGTAACCACTCATCTCCCAGGGTAACCACCCATCTCCCACCGTAATCACCCATCTCCCACCATAACCACTCATCTCCCACCGTAACCACTCATCTCCCACCGTAACCACCCATCTCCCACCGTAACCACTCATCTCCCACCGTAACCACCCACCTCCCACCGTAACCACCCACCTCCCACCGTAACCACCCATCTTCCACCGTAACCACCCATCTCCCACCGTAACCACCCATCTCCCACCGTAACTACCCATCTCCCACTGTAACCACCCACCTCCCACCGTAAACACCCATCTCCCACCGTAACCACCCCCAGGCTGCCTCCCCATAAACTAATCCAGAAGCAAGCAGGATACGATAGAGTAACGATTCATGCAAAGAATAAAATGAAACATGTCCTATGAAATTATATAAATTTGAAAGTAGACACAAAATGTTCAGCATCTTTATCGCCGGATCCTAACGATGAATGCATTCCGATATGGTGAAATAAATTAGGTTCCAGCTGATAAGCTGGTATATTAGTTTGCCGAACGAAGTCATAAATGGCAAGATCCGTATTCCGAGGTGATGGCAACGTCGTCAAATATGTGGTCAAGGGTTCAACCACTGCGCTGGGATACAACGTGGCTGGCGTACAACATCCAGGCGCTAGTCGGAACTGGTACAAATATTTGGACAGTCTTCGAAGCTCAAGAACGTTTTGACGACCAACCAGCTTTGTCGTCAACATAAAAAGGATCATTCCTAATAAGAAGTATTGAAACAATGGTTGCCTCCGTCTGTTCGTGTTCCACAGCAGAAATCTGCACAAGACACTTATCCCTCCTCCCACACAACCGAAACTGACCAGCTCTAAAGCCCTCGGTAACTCGAATGCAAACCCTTGCCATTTCTCGGGGTAATAAAGTTTCAGATAGCAGAACTTCTTTTTCACACGTGTACTTTTTGCTTTATCGACTAAATGGTAATCTAGTGAATGTTTCAGAACGCTTGACAAATCTGCGTGGGGAACGGCATCGTCTTCAACCATCAATATGAACTCGGGATGAAACGATTCAGCCACCTTTAAACAATAGGAATAGTCAAACGTTTCCTTTTCATGAGTGTTTTTATGATGTCTTTGATTGTAGGTTAGGTTTCCATGTGGAAGCTGCATGTCCTTCACCTTGAAACTCGAGGATCCATACCTTTCAATAAACGGCAGGTACATTTCCAGAAAATGTGCCTCTTCGTGCATGTCAGGTTTAGAATCAACATTGCAGAGAAACACAAAGGTTCTGTTTATAAAGTTGCTGCTTCTTGCAAAACTGTCAATTCCAGCTGAAGTTTGGAGAACATACCCCAGACTTTCGTTTCCTTTCTTCACCCCCGAGCGTCTTACTGTGACTATAGCCACTGCCAGATACATGTCGGTGGCGCTTCCAATAGAATGGTAGTAACGTAGGCTTTCGTTGCCATTTTTATTCTTGAAGTAAATGTTGGCATGTTTAACTCTCTCGTCATTTAACATCTTGGCTCTCTGCTGAAAGTCAGTCGTTCCTGAAGTTATGCCGAAGTATGCAGAGAATGGAAGTGTATGACACACAATTGGTAACAAAATAAAAAACTGTATTAAAAATACAAAACCAACAACGCCAGCATGGCGGACAAACGACCTACGTATCTTTGACATCGTGACTTGCGTCCTGTGAAGAATATCCACTCCCATACAAGCTGCTCCAACTTGACATCTCACTCATGAACGCTATTATTTTTTCCAAGCAAACATCATGGGACGTGTCAGCCACATTTAGGATAGGATGAGACTTGGGTAGAACGTCTGAAGATAGACAACAGCTAAAAACCGGTTCGTTTCGTTCGTCACATTGCCATAAATGTTAACATCATAACAACGAACACCGTCCATATGCCCAGACCTTACCTTGATGGTGCCTGTGAAATGACTCACTACTCGTATCAGGTTTAATTCACAGCTGTCGCCACCCTCTCTATCAGCTATTATAGCTGGACAGAATGAAAACTAGACGTGCAGGCGATTGCTATTCCAATGAATGTGTTCACACCTTGTTTTCAATTGTGTCATAATCCTGGTGTCGGAGGAAGTATTCCCTCTATTAAAGCATATGTCAAGCTGTGAGTAAAACAGGGCGGTGCTCTTTCTCCGTGGGTTTCTGTACTTTCAACAGGGTGGCTGAGCGTTCGTGCGATGTTTACTCCACTGGTCCACCTGAGAGATTGGTGTGGATGACACGACATCCGTCTTCCCCCAGCCTCTATCGCCGCGCTCGCCTGGGACATTAAGCATAGGGACGCCGATATTTTACAGCAGTTCCGCGTCGTCGCAGATGGCACGATCTGTCGCCTAGACTAACATTTAGTCTCTGAAATCTTATATTACACAATATCCTTCTTGAATCTAAAAATTTAAAAAAAAAACCTATGGTGATTTTGGAATAGAGCTAGCTAGAGCCGGCTAGACTTATATAAATATATTCCACGGTCATGGTGCAGGACTATCTGTCGCCCAACAGCGCGTTGTGGGATTGCCTGAAAGTCGGGCCAGTGGTGTTTTCGCAATGAAGGCGACTTGTTAGTTTTTGGTATGCTGGTCCAGACAATCCGGTGATTGACATCATGAGCATCAAGTACGCAATTAGGATACGATGACATTCATCAACCAAGTTCTGTATTATGAGGAACATATACTCACACGCAAAAGAAACGCAAGTCGATTATGCAGTATACATGTTATTTATTTTCAACAGTAAAGACAAGAAATACTAATAGGGCAAGATTGACAAAAAATTGACTGAAGACAGTGTAATGGATAAAAAGGCAGATCACATAATTGTTGTTTTTTCAAAGGTTAAGGGCTTACACAGTTTCGGGTCAATACCCAAAATGTCAGTCAATACCTGGTGTGACCACCATTAGCATTGATCGCTGCCACACATCTCCTGTACATTGAGTGGATCAGACGATTTGTGAAGACCCTAGGGATCCTCCTGCACACATCCAGAGCAGATGTGCATAGTTCATCGGCAGTTGTAGGGACTGGGCGCACATTGTGCAAACGCCTTTGAACCTCATCCCACAAGTGTTCGATGGGGTTCAGATCAGGGCTGAGGGCTGGCCACAGTAGAACACGGATGTTGTGTTGTTGCAGAAAGGCCATGGTAGCTCTGGCAACGTGGGGACGAGCGTTGTCCTCCTGGAAAATGTGTTGCTGATGTTGTGCAAAAAATGGAACAGCATGGGGCCTGATCACTTGGTCGATATACCGCTGAGCAGTGACGCCGTGTCCCCGACTTTGACCAACATTCAGAAAGCACATGGGTCCAAGTCTCGCATTAAGTCCAATCCCTGCCCATATCATGACGCTAGGTCCACCCCATGGATCCCTTTCCACAAAGTTTCTGTCAGCAAAACGATCACCTCGACGCCGCCAAATTCTGACTCTTCCGTCTGCATGGGAGACACAAAAGCAACTTTCATAAGAGAAGATGACACGCCTCCACTCACGATGACGCCAATTGTGATGACCCTGTGCCCACTGAAGTCGTGCTTGTCGATGTCGTGGTTAGAGAACAGGACGACGTGCTGGTCGGCGACATTTGAGGTTGTTGGAACGGAGACGTCAGATCAGTGTCCCGGCTAATGTGTCGATTATGTGTTCCTTTGGTCTGTCGAGCACTTTCACTTGCAGTAAGGAACGGATGTCGCTGGTGTTGACGGGTAGTCTGCCGATCTTGTCGAGGTGTGGTGACCCTAGGACGACCGCTCCGAGGAAGGTCATCTGTTGTCTGTGTAGCATTGTATCGATGCAGGAGACGGTAAATTGTGGTTTTGTTAACGTTGAAATGACGGGCAACATCTTGGACAGACTCTCCAGCTTCCAAACGTCCGATAGCCGCTGTTTCTCTGAATTTGAGTTAGGCGAAACAGACAGTGGACGAGTGAGTGAGTGAGTTGGGTTTAACGCCGCTATTAACAGTATTACAGTAATATCACGGCGTGTCAGCTTATTGTGGGAGGAGAGCCCGAAGTGATGCAGGTCTCAGACGTTTACCACTTCGGTGAAACCCACGAGCACGGGTATGGTGCTGACAAACCTAGAAACATAATCTGGGCGAACCGAGATTCGAACCCACAGCCATAGGTTTCTGGCGTGCCCAAGGGACACAACTCTGCAAAGCAAATTCTCAACGAGTGTGATGGAATACGCCGGTGGTGCCCTACATGTTTTGAAATTATCGTCATGTATGTTTGATAAGTGTGTGGATACTGATTTTAAATGATACATTATAATTATAAAATGATAATTCCTAAAATGTGTTATGTGGAAACTTTTATGTTTTTGTATATAATGTAATATTTCGTCATTGTAACATATCATGTATGGATTGAATATTACATCGGGAATGAACATCGGGAATGAACGACCCAACCCAAGCGCAATACTTAACTTGTGAAACACATGCACCTCTCATTGACAACACTGGACAGAAGGAGAGACAATGGCCCTTGACATAGGATTTATGGGTGTAATAACCGACACTGCCCAGGGGATAATCGATTAAGGCTATAAATGTCATAACATTAAGTAATGAATTTCTGAGTTGGACTATAACACAATTGACTGTAATTAAACGCTTTAAACTCATATAGACCAATATTCCTAACTTTAAACTTATGCAAAGTAATGGAATCAATGGCTAAAAATAGATTACAACATATTACCTAACCCAAAATAACATCATAAACCCAGATCAAAGCGGTTTCGCTCCTGGCCGCTCAACCCTAGATAACCTCGCCCGACTAGAGCAAGATATTAGGACAGGACAACTAAATAGACAATATACCACAGGCATCTTCTTAGATTTCTCTATAGCTTTCGACATGGTATGGCACGACGGGCTAATACAAAAACTTTAAAAAATAGGACTCAAAGGTCAGATAATAAACTACATCCAGGACTTCCTAAACAATCGTAAAATAACCGTGGGTATAGACCAAAAACTATCGGACCAATGTCCCCTAGAAAATGGCACTCCCAAGGGCAGTATCCTCAGCCCCACCCTCTTCAATATAATGATAAACGATCTATTCGAGGGTCTATCCCCTAAACTAAACACTAAATCAAAATTCACGGATGATGGAGCCCTCTGGATCCGCACTAAAAGCATTAAAATGGCCCAAAATTTACTCCAAAAATCTCTAAATAAAATACAACAATGGGCTGACAAATGGGGCTTCTTCCTTAACTCAGAAAAAAACAACAGGAATAGTATTCAAACATAAAAACATGAAACCCGCCTCCCCAATCCTCCAGCTAAACAACCAACCAATCAAATTTAAAAAACAAACCAAATTCTTAGGACTTATTTTCGATGAACATCTCTCCTGGGATGCTCACATCTAAAACCTAACAACTAAATGCAGTAAAGTCCTAAACACGCTAAGATGCCTAACTGGCTCTAACTGGGGAGCCTCCAAAGATACCCTCCTCTCTCTCTACATATCACTAATTAGATCAAAACTAGACTACAGCTGCGCCATATACAACACCCTAAACAACTCTCTATCTAAAAAACTTGAGTCAATACAATATCAGGCTCTCAAACTAATTACACGCACCCAACATGGCACCTCCTACACCTCACTTCAGGCCTTAACAGGAGAAATGCCACTAAGTCTACGCAGTGAACAGCTAAGCTTAAATTTCTGGGCCGCGTCCCAATCAAACCGTCTCATCCAAAACTTAATAAACCAAAACATCAGCCCCCAAAACCAAGCTCCAGCTCGTAAACACCCCTTACTTACCCCAATATCCCAAAGAATAACAAACTACCTAAATGAACACCAAATTAAAAATCTCAAACAAAACTGCAAACAATCAAATATCTTCACCCCTAAACTTAAAATACCCAAAATAGACACAACACTAGCTAGCCAAATGAATAAACAAACCGACCCAAACAAAGCTAAAATCACCACACTAGCATGCATACACGAAAATTGGCCAAATTGGTGTCACATTTACACGGACGGATCTTCAGATCCGACCTCCAAACACACAGGTTTCGGAGTCCATACCACACAACCAACTAAAACCACACAATCCTTCCGACTCCCAAACAACCAATCAATATTCACGGCAAAACTAATGGGGATTGCCTCAGCCCTCCATAATCAAGAATCCAAAAACCACATAAAAAATCCTAATACTTACCGACTCCCTAAGTGGACTACAAGCCCTCCAAAACCAAAATACCAAAAACCGACCTAAATTAATAAATCAAATACTTAAAAGCTTAAAACGACCTAACTAAGGCAGGCAAACAAATAACATTCTTATGGATCTCCGCCCACGTAGGAATATACGGTAATGAAAACGCCGATAAAGCAGCTAAACTATCCCTCAAAATCCCAGAAATAAGCTTAAACTTACCCATCTCAAAATCAGAAATTAAAAGTGTAAACAAGCAAAAAATCACCAAAAACATGGCATAACCTATATCTAAACTCAAATAGCCAAATCAAAAACGTACTCAGCAAACCACTAACCAAACCAAAAATTCTCCATCCATCACAAAAAATCGAATTAGTAATCACTAAACTCCAAACAGGACACACCAACCTAAATAACCGCCTAATTATTTTTTTTAAAACACACTACAGGTAACTGCCCACACTGCAAACAACCAGAAACCCCAGAACACGCACTCATCCACTGCACACACCACCTAACAAATCGAACCGCATTACAAACCACCCTCAATCTAAACAAGGCTCTCACTCTAGGCCTTAGGCGTATTCTTAATCAAAGCGGAACTAATAAAACGCATCTAAAAAACAAAATAATCTACCAAATCAAAATCACATAAACAAACAAACATCCACCGTACCCAGCTCCCTTAGTTCTCCTCCCCAACCCCATCGGCATCAATTCCAATCTCAAAATTCCCAAATTCTATATTAGCAACCCCTAAAGCCCCCTCTTGGGTTGCACACACCACTTTCGCCCCTTTCGGAACCACATTTAATGGCCGGACCGGGCCCGTGTGCGAAATACGCATCAGTCGGAAAGCGCACGTTAAATCTCCAAAGTAAGTAAGTAAGTAAGTAAGTAAGTAAGTAAACGCCTTGATTACAGCCTGTGAACTAGCCTAGATTTCCTTAAACGACATATAACTAAAAGTAGACACAATTTACGGATAACAACTTCTTTAATTACTATAAAGGCGACATTTGGGTATAGATAATTATACCGTTGTCAAGCAACTCAACACTGTAC